ATTCTGACCCACAGCGCCCCTAGAGGACAGAGTGGAACTGCCCACAGGGTCTCCAAGGCTGTCATTTTAACAGGGGCAGGTGCATTAACAGAAACTTGTGTGTCTGCCACAGGGTAAGCTGAGTGGCGTAAAGAGGACTGTGATACATTTCCTGGGCTGTGTCCGCAGGTTATTTGGAATGGATATGAATAAAAGGACCCAGAGGGCATTGGCCATGCTGCGTGTGAAGAAACCTTACCTGGATATAGGCTGCTGAGTGACACGTCTGTGGGTCCCTTTTGGAAGCCAGGAAAGAGGACTGTGGGGTCGGGTGTGCTCATCACCCCAGGATCCTAACTGTGACCCTCACGACTAACCAGGTGCTGTGGAATCTACCCTGTTGCCGTACGCCCATGTGTGTCAGGGTGGAATTGAGCCCCGCAGGGCTTTCATTGGCTGATTTGTGGGAAGCCATCGGCAGGAATTTCTTCCAAGGTGACTCTGGGCGGACCCCAACTGACAACCTCTGAAACAGCTGAGCCCATTCATTTTGCACTAGCCAGGGATCCGACCCATGATAAAAAGCAAAAAATCCAAACTTTTGCCACCAACTTGATTCTGACTCACAGCGCCCCTACAGGACAGAGTGGAACTGCCCACAGGGTCTCCAAGGCTGTCAATCTTCACAGAAGCAAAGCCCAAACCACACCCACTGCCTGGAGTCCATTCTGACCCACAGCGCCCCTAGAGGACAGAGTGGAACTGCACCACAGGGTCTCCAAGGCTGTCAATCTTCACGGAAGCAAAGCCCAAACCACACCCACTGCCCTGGAGTCCATTCCGACCCACAGCGCCCCTAGAGGACAGAGTGGAACTGCACCACAGGGTATTCAAAGAAGCCGACTGCCTCCTTATCCAAGGAGCCACTGGTGGGTTCCAAGGGGCAACCTTCGCTTAGCTGCAGAGCGCGTACCCACTGCAGCACCAGGGCTCCTCACCCATAATGAAGCTCATTATCTCCTTAGAGACAAATCATATGCAGATTGAGGACAAGAAAGAACTCCTTGCAGCTGGGGGTTCTAAGTAAGCCATGTTCTGGACGGCTGTGTCGGTGCCTGGAGAGAAGCTAGGGTGCGGCGTGAGCGACCAGAGGCTTACCCTGTCCACTCGCCCTGGAGTCCACGCCGACTCAGTGACTCGTGTCACAGTACAACGGTGCCTCACAAGGCTGGCATTGGCCTATGTCAGAACCAGGCCAGCAGGCTGTTCACCAGAGGCCCCCTCAGTGGACTGGAACCTGCTGTTCTGTAAGAAGCTGACGGCACCACCCAGACTCAAAGGCCCTGAGAGGGGCTGTGGAAGCCCAGATGGTTCAAAAGTGAAGGTTGTTTTGCAGCCCTGGGGACATTGGCAGATGCTACTGGGACCTAGGGGAGCTCTGGTAGCATAGTGGCTATGGTACTTAACTGCTAACCAGAAGGCTGGCGGTTCAAACCTACCAGCCATTCCTCGGAAGGAAGGTTGGGCAATCTACTTCCAGTGATACCGCCTCAGAAACCCAAGGAGGGGTTGCTATGAGTCAGGGCCACCTCCAAGGCACATAACTGGGACCTGGTGTGTGGTCCCGGACACTTGATAACCGTCCTCCAGGGCACAGGATAATCCCCAACCCGCAGCCACCGTCAGCTGTCCTCAGCCCCAGACCCTGCCTCATGGTGACCCCCTGCACAAGGGAACAAACACTGCCCGGCCTGGCCACACCCACAACCCGTTGGGGGTCCTTCTGAGATCCACAGGTTCGCTGCCTGATTTGGGGGAGTAGGAAGTCAGCCTGTCTGGAACTTGGCCAGCAGACACCTGTCCAGGCTCAGAGCACACACACCTCCACTGGTGGCCGGGGATGAGGTCGGTGGCCAGGCATCGGACGTAGGCTTCCAGCGAGAATCCTGGCACTGAACTACACTGCTCCCACAATAGTTACCAACCCAGTGACAGTTTAGGGCTCTGGTGGCTTACAGCCTGAGACGTCTGACTGCTAACCAGAGGCCTGACGGCTCAAACCCAGCAGCCAGCGCTCAGAAGGAAGATAGGGCGATCTACTTCCCTCAAGATTTACCACCTCGGTAACCCAACGGGGTTGCTGTGTCAGAACTGACTGAGGGCAGTGAGTGTGCTTTTTTGAGTTTAGTGACAATAGCACTGAATCCTGGTTTTGTAGGAGGCTCATGCTACAAGAGCGTAAAAATCAAATGTAAAAACATCAGATGTAAAAACCGATGGTGCTATGCAGCTGGAAGAAGCTGGTGACTAAAGTCAACACCCCACAACCACCGCTGCTCAAGATGTTCTGTGGTTCTGTGCCTGACTCTGTCCCTGCCCCACTGGATCTCACTGGACCGTGGCTGGACACCTCCTCACGGGCAGCCGCTTGTAGGCTGGCTGCCCACCTACATCCTGTCTTGGATGAAGATATGAGGCTGGTGAGATTCCCACTGCTGAGAGTTTGAAGGAGGAAACTCAGAGACCCATCTGTTGTTCAGTGCCGTCGATTTCCGACTCATAGTGACCCCATGCACAGCAGAACATTGACAGAGACCCACCTAGTGACTGGGAAATGTGGTGCCTACAAGCTGAACACCTGCACCAGGGAGGTGCTCTCCTTACAACACCCAACCATGGGCCATGAGAAGGGCAGGGTTTCTCAAGGAGAAAGGGAGGCAGGAATGCACGGGCCAGGACACAGGGAGGAAGTGAGCTGTGTGAGCACTTCTGGGAAAATGTCACAAAACAATGTGCATCAACTGTTGAATGAGGCTGAAAAGAATAAAAGCAAATTGAGACCAAACTCAGAGTGAGCTTGTAGCCCCTGAAAGACAGAGGAGTAAGCAGCTGGCCTCCAGAATTACCTAGACACAAAGGAGGGTCAGCAAAAAAGGGAAGACCCTCAATGAGATGGATCGACAGTGGCTGCAACATGGTGAGGACCGTGTGCCAGACCGGGCAGGGCTTGTTCTGTTGTACAAGACACTGGCTTGCATCCGCCAGCACCTAAGATACAGGACTATTTCCTACATCAATAAATGTCCCACCACGAAACCCTTGAAATTGATAGCGTTTTTATAACAAGACCTCCAGGGATTAGTGGGTGTCATTTGCAATATTCAAGTTCTTTCCAAAGGTGACTGCTTGCCTTGCATGGCTCATTGATCATGGGTCAGCCACTGTGGCGATCACAGCCCAGTTTGAGTATCTGCACAGGCAGCCAGACACAAACACGCAATTGAGGTTACCCCTCAGTCCTCAGGCTGCCAAGTCCGGAGAATTTACTCGCCAGCAGGAAGCACCCTGACACTGAGTTTTACAAACTTGGGGTTCACTATTCCTTCAGGATACCAAACGTACTAGGGAGTCCTAAGGGCCCCTTGACTTCCCCCCAGACCCCCTTGGAATTGATGCTAGAAGTGCTTGTAAGCTTTGTTTTAGGGATGAGCTGCCGTGGGAAGGCCTGTTGTCCAGAGTGAAGGCAGCCCTGTCCATCACCTTTCCACCCCCGGGGTCCCCATCTGGAGTCATGAATGAATGAATGATGACCCCCTGCCCTGAGTCTGAGAACCACCCCACCTGGCTCACCTTCTGTGGTATTTCAATGTACATTTCAGGAACCAAGGCCCAATTCTTGGGGTCAACTGCAATTTCTGTTAACACAGAAAATGCTTCAGAACTCCCGTGCTGAGCAGCCAACAGGCCCAAGTCAGTGCTGGTACCCACTCCGTGTGGCCAAGACGGAGCCACACAGGGACACCAGCACTACCTACCAAACTCCCTGCTGCAGTAAGGCTCATCGATTTCTGAAGCTGTCAATGATAACAGATTGCCCCATCTTCCTTCTGAGGGAGTGGGCTGCAATGGCCAACCTTCCCACTAATGCCTTTACACATTAGATTTGGTGAAAGGAATGTATCAAATACATGTGACTTGCCACAAAAATACCACTAGGACAATGAATGTATATGTACCTTTGAAAAATAAAAAGCCCCCATGAGATCAAATCAACAATCAACATACTGTCATCAGTTCAACACGGCAGTTTGTGGGGTAAGAGAATTGCCCACCGACAGTCAATTTGTTGCAGGGCCGTCAAAAGGTTATCCCCACAACCCAATAACAGCACAAGAGATATCTGAAACCGGTTTATTCCAGCTGGAGAATTTGAAACATAAGTTGTACAATATTCATAGAAGCAAAACCCGCCACCAGTATGTCTAACATATCCTAACATGGGTTACAATGGCAGAACACATGCTAGAACCCGGTGCTGTCAGCTGATCCAACCCACAGAAGCCCGGTGGGACGAAGTAGAACTGCTTATGGGGACAGAAGTCACAAAATTTCCAGATTTTGAATACCCGATGCGTCCCTCAAACGATGACACTCGAAATGGAAGCACTTTGCAGACTAGACACACAGCAAGAGCCTCCATTCCGAGCGTCACAATCTGAGTGTCCCACACGAGGTCCTGGGGCGACAGCAGGCTCCCTCTGCCTCCTGGAGAGGTGGAAGGTCTAGTGAGGGCACCATGGGGATAACCAAGAACCCACTTCAGCTGGAGTGCACTATTGGGGTGCCTGGAGGCAAACCCACTCATCAGCTGCCCGGTAGGGTCTCCAAGGCTGTCGTGGAAGCAAAGCCCAAAGCACACCCACTGCATGGAGCCCATTCTGACCCACAGCGCCCCTAGAGGACAGAGTGGAACTGCCCACAGGGTCTCCAAGGCTGTCAGTCTTCACGGAAGCAAAGCCCAAACCACACCCACTGCCTGGAGTCCATTCTGACCCACAGCGCCCCTAGAGGACAGGGTGGAACTGCACCACAGGGTCTCCCAGGCTGTGACTGTCTCATGTTTCTCCCAAGGGCTGATGCAGCCCAATGCTTTAACACAGAGCTCCTTTAACTGCCAAGACACCTGAGGAATTGACAGTATCAGACCAGGTATACACCAGGTTGAAGGTGCAGCTCAGTTAAAATTTATGTGAAGCCTCAATGCTTCTCCAAATCCCCAGAGAGACTTAAAGATTCTGAAGCCTTAAATAAGATCAAAACCCAAACAAAGAACATCTGGATGAGAGAAACCACTGGCTTGAGGCCAAAGGAGTGGGCTGACGACAGGGGAAGTTTCCACATTGCTATAAAGCCAAGCCAAGCACATAGGACCATGGTTAGTGGTCTGTCCACCATTCTCCCAGGTGGGACATAATGTGCAAAGGACGTGTCCATAATATGCAGGTTAAAAAAGATTGCAAACTACCCCTTGCTTCCCGTGGACTTATCTAACCATAGCAACATTTCAGCCTTACTGCTCAGTTCAAATGGCGTCTGTGGATTAATGGCAAGACTGAATCAGCCTTCCACACACCAAAGGCTTCATTCATACCTTACAAAACAGATTACAGCAAGACAGCACCAGCTAACAAGTCAGTGCTTCAAACTCGCCAGAGCCCAGCCTGGCCAAACAGTGCTTCAGTGAATTTTTACAGCCTTGGAAATGCTGTGGTTCTGTGTGAATCCACTCCATGGCAGTGGGTTAATGTCGGTATGAATCGGCATCATTTACAAATTATTCATGGTGTCATTAAACGGTAATCTTGCTAAGATTACCCACTCAAGGGGAACTTGAGAGCAGCCTGTGTTATTAACCACAACCCAACCCCCACATAGGGACCACGAGCCCTGGTGGCACAGTGGTAAGGGCTCGGCTGTTACAGGTTTAGGTCAGAGGGCGGTTCCTGCCTCTGAGTGGATTGAGCCCACTGACTTTTTGGTTAGCAGCCAAGGATTAACTAACTGCATCACCAGCAGTAAGTAAACTGTTCCCCTCTCAGGCAGTAACAGACCCTCCCTGTAACTATTCAATCTACAGGAACCTCTTCCCTTGCGAGGTGCTCACTGGTAACACTCAAATGTGGAAGCACTTTCCAGATAAAAACGGAAGAGTGGCCCCCATTTGAGTGCCACTGGCTGAGCGGTTCTGCAAGACCTGTGCCGGGAGGTGGAGCAGGGCAGACGCGTCTAATCCAACTTCCCACTGGTACCTGAGCAGCTAGCGCCTGGGTACTTGTCAGCCGTTCACAGGGTCTTCCTCAACCAGCAACACTCAAAACAAGGGCAGCACTTTTGCACATGGAACAGAAAAGTGCCACCCAAGTTTGAGTGCCCCGGGTTGAGATGGTTCTGAACGGTCCCATTTTGCTGCCATGCCATCTTCACTGGGGGAGCTCCGCTGGGTCCACCTTTGAACAAAGAGCATTGAGATTAGCGATGACCCCTGGCAACTAGTGATAAATCAAACTAAATAAATGGGTCTGAGCATGGCAGGAACGCAGAGCCATTCGTTGTCACCGGGAAAGGGGCAACCACTTATGCCACGGGCCGAGGGTAATCTGTGCCCAGGAGATTGGGCTCTGCAGGGAAATGGGGCAGTGTTAGTTTGTAAAAGTGTGTTAGTAAAAGTGTGTTAAAGGCCTTGCTATAAGAATTTACAACATGTCGCTCCATCTTGTGTTCTCAACTCCATCTTGTGTTCTCAAAAGATGAACATACGACATTAATGGCCCCATCAGCCGTCGTGACCAGAGAAACAAGGGCGACCGATGGCTGGATTTGAGGAACCAAGAGGGCTTCCCACCCAGAAAGCCTCGAACCCCCACATTCTAGATGTGACCCCCACATTCTAGGTAGGTGGCATGCACGGCAGAAGCAGACCCTTTCAAACGCTTTGTACTCAACCGGAAACAAGCGTGTGAGCCTAGGAGGTGCAGGATGGAATTTCAAAATAGGGAAGAGAAGGGGGTGGAAATATGGAAGATTGGCGCCAAACGGATGCGGTGCGTCCCAACTCCTAGGAAAACGTGGAACCGCTCGCCGGGCCCCTGGGCAGAAGTGGGCCCTAGAGCAGGCCGCCAGGCCTTCACGACCAGGGCCCGTGCTGAGTTCCTGCCATTAAGTGGACTCCGACTCACAGTGCCCTTAGGACTGGTTAGAACTGCCCCATAGGGTTTCCAAGGCTGTGCAAGCCCACTGTCCATCTTTCTCCCACTGAGCGGCTGGTGGGTTCCAACCGCCGACCTTCTGATCAACACCCAAGGGCTGCGTTCACCGCTGAACCAGCAGGGCACCAGGCCACGCACTTGGCGGGGCCCCAGTACTTACCGAGCTGCAGAGACCACCGACTGCTCCGACCGTCAGCAGGGCCTAGCAGGCCTCCCCGGCTCTTATAGGGCAGGGCGAGGCCCTCAGGGGACTGGAGATCGCTCCGCCCACCCCCGCGGCTCCGCCAGGCCCTTCCTGCCCCCAGGGAGGTCCTTTGCCAAGGTCACATTCTGGTTTAAAATCCTGACTCCCTTTTTGCTTATAGCACCCGAATAAACTGATTGAAAACGACCTAAAAATGGTGGAAAGTAAACCGATAAAGAGGTGCCGACTTGGGGGTTCAGCCATTGCGTCATTAAACGCGTGTCTGTGACGAACTCGGCGTTTGCTGACTTGCAGACTTATTCCAATTGGGCGCAGACATGGGCTCTCGGCTGGTTCCCGGGCATTTGGTTTCGCGCTGTCAAATGGACTCCTACTACTAAAAAACCCAAAACACGCATTGCCATGGAGGCCGTGAGCACTCAGGGACCCTGTTCGTGGGGGTGGACGGCCACATCTTTCTCCCGAGGAGTGATTCGTGGGTTCAAACCATCGACCTTTTCGTTAGGAGCCGAGCACTTAACCCTTGCGCCACCACGGCTCCTTTTACGGGTAGCACAGCGCCCCGGGGGTTCCTGGGGGCACACGGCCAGGTCTTTCGTGCTGCGGGACTGCAGGTTGTTGGGAACGCCAACATTTCCCTCTGCAGCCGAGCGCTTTGCAGTTGCGCCACCAAGGCTCATTGAATCCTGGACAAAGGAATGAGGACAAGAACTTAAACTTTACGGGCCAGAATCGTGCCCTTAGATGGGGGTGAGTCCATCCCGGCCAGGGGGCACTGGGCAAGTCTGAATCAGTTTTTTATTGTCACAACCCGGGGCTGGTGCCACCTGCATGAAGTGGGTAGAAACCAAGGTTGGTGCCTTCCATACCCAGGACTAAAGCCTCTACTGTCCCAGTTCCGACTCATGGTGGCCCTTCAGGCTGTGGTCTTCATTGTCCTGGAGACCAGCTGGTGGGTTTGAACCCCAACATCTCAGTTAGCAACTCAACGCTAAATCACTGAGCCACCAGGCCTGCGTTATAACAGGAGAGTCCGTCCCCACAAAAGAGATCATCCAGCCCAAAATATCACCAGTGGCGAGGTTTGCAGACCTCGATCCAGCAGGGAGACGGTGAGCAGAAGATAAATTATTGTTACTGTTAGTTTATTTCATCTAAATCTCTCATGCCTATTCAGATGAATGTTCATGTTGGGTACACACTTCCATCAATGTCTTAAGAGTATGTAAAATGTGTTTTTATGTCAGTATTGGGGTAAATACGTTGGTAATGAAACCTCTGTCATCTTGGGGGCTGGTGTCACTACTTGTCACACACTGTGGCCATGTTCTCAGGAGGGACCAGTCTCTGGAGAGGACACGATGCTTGCGAAAGTCGAGGGTCATTCAAAACGGGGACGACCCGCAACGGGATGGGTTGGCAGACACAGAGGCTGCGATGCTGGGCACAAGCGGGGCAGGGATTGGGAGGCTGCCGCAGGACCGGGCAGGGTTCCATCCATTGTACGCGGGGTCGGGGTTAAGTCAGAAGCAACCGGACAGAGTCTAAGAACTGTCTTCACGTGCACAGTGCAGGGCCGTCAATGACGCCATTACCACTGGCCGTTCCTGGATTTGCCCATCAACCTAGAAGCCCTGCTGCCCTAAACCTCGCCTCTTCCTTTCCCCGTAAAAGGTGTTCTTTCTGATGGCTGAATGGCCAACCAGATATGCTTCTACCAGAATTCATTAATCCCTACAAGGGACAGGGAAGTTGGTGGCTGTTTTCAACATTTCTCAACGTACAGTAATTTGTTAATGCTGCAAACACCGTTGTTGTTGTTGTTATGTGCCGTCGAGTGGACCCTACTCATAGCGACCCCTCTTTGAGCTTCCGAGGCAGTATCACTATGGAAGTAGATTGCCCAACCTTCCTTCCAAGGAGTGGCTGGTGGGTTTGAACCGGCAGCCTTCTGGTCAGCAGTCAAGTGCCTTAGGCACTACGCCACCAGAGCTCCTACAAAGACCATTAGGGAGAGGAATTTTTTTAAAAACAACTGTGGTGAAAACATTCACACCCAGACATTCACCAACATAACAACTTCCACATTTAAAGCTCCCTGAGGACACTGATGACATTTTTCACCTTGGGCCACCATGACTGCTCTACTTTTCCCAAATATTCCACCACCATTAGCATAAACTCAGTGCCCCTCAAACAAAAGCCTTTCTTTCCCTGCCTCCTACTCCCCCAACCACTAATTGGAACAATTGTGTTGACAAGATCAAAGAATGAATACTTTTGCAAGCCTCTGGCCTTTTAGGTGTAACCTCTAAGTCTCTGTGGTCAATCCTTGACCTTGAGGGTTACAGCCCCCAGAGGGGGAGGCTCAGTACTGTGAGGGACTTAAAGAGAATAAATAGCTTCCGGGACTGGAATCCAGACCCATTTGTAATGCTATCTATTGCTGGTTAAAACCTTAGCTCTCCGCCCACCCCCACCCAGTGAAATGGAAGCAAACACCCCTTATTATAGAGGATTAGGAAGGACAGAGTGGAACTGCACCCCTCCTTGGGTTTCCCAGGCAGTACCACTACAGAAGTAGATTGCCCAACCTTCCTTCCGAGGAGTGGCTGGTGGGTTTGAACCGCCAGCCTTCTGGTTAGCAGTCAAGTGCCTTAGGCACTACACCACCAGAGCTCCTACCTTCACAGAAGCAAAGCCCAAACCAAACCCAGTGTCTGGAGGGGATTCTGACCCACAGCGCCCCTAGAGGACAGAGTGGAACTGCCCACAGGGTCCCCAAGGCTGTCAGTCTTCACAGAAACAGATGGGCATGTGGCCTGGTTTCCTGCTCCGCCCCCATTCTGTCCCAGAGGACATGCAGTAAGCACTCCATGAAGACTATTCATTGGGGGATGAATGGGCCGTTTGGTGCCCGTGTTGGGTTGATGCCTCCATTGTCTCTGCTCTTAACCAGTGGCCACTGAGTGGCCCCGACCCGTCGACTGTGTGTCAGTAAAATGGTGCTGCACAGGGTTTTCAAATGGCTGATTTTTTTTTCAAGCAAATCGCCAGGCCTTTCTTCCAAGGCACTTAGGGCTGGACTCAAAACCTCCAGCCTTTCACTTAAACAGCCAAAGGGCGCCAAGAATTTACACTCGCAGGCCCTCCCTGCTAGAGTTGTGCCCCCCCCCACACACACACCAATGCATTTGGGCGCACCATTCTTCCTCTTGTAATTCTCCTTTTCTTCTCTTTGCCCAGCTTTCTAATGGCTTGGTTCTAGAAGCAATTTCTACATTTCCTAATTTGTAGAATGGGAGCTCTGGTAGCATAGTCCCTAAGGCATCTGACTGCTAACCAGAAGGCTGGCGGTTCAAACCCACCAGCCACTCCTCGGAAGGAAGGTTGGGCAATCTAATTCCGTAGTAGTGATACTGCCTGGGAAACCCAAGGAGGGGTTGCTGTGAGTCGAATGAACTCGATGGCAGTGAGATTGGTGTTTTTTTGTAATTTGTAGGATTAAGGAATAGAAATGGGCAGGAATGAGTAGATTCTAGGTGGAGTGTGGAGCCCGGTTCTGGAGCCCAGGCCGCAGGTTGCAGGTGCTCAGTGTACAGGATTGGCCGGATGAACCATCTAGATTCACAGGTAACCTACCACTGTGATCAATGACAGGTCAGCTTATCCCCCAGTCACCAGATGACAGGAGGAACGTCAGCCCCAAGAAGTAATCAGAGGTGGCCCACACAGAAATCCTAGGCTGACACGGGGCGTCAGGTAGTGTCTGTGAGGAAGTGTGCGCAGCTGCCCCAGGGAAGGCACCTTGGTCAGCCGGTAAGACCTGAAACGGACAACGTCCAATGAAGCCAGCCCCTGTGAATAACCCTGTAGCCAAGGCAGGCTGCACCAGGAGGCATGCAGACGCCTGAGCTACAATGTTCCTTCCTGGATTTGACTGATGTATATAAGCCTGTAGTTCAACAAAACCTTTGTAACTCCCACCACGCTTCCTCCCGAGTGTGTCGCTCGATTCCTTCGTGTTTCATACTTTTATAAACACTGTCAGTCTTCTCCAAATCGGAGCAGAGTATTGGGGCATGCAGCCCTGTCTGTCCACACCCGACCAGCCCTTTCCGGCTTGTCCATTCCGTGTGGTTTACTGGCTCAAGTCACACGGGGCACGGGCCCATTTCTGGGGTAACACTATCCTACCACACTTCATGCATCCGAGACCCTCATCATCTCTCCAGAATTCTGCAAACTCTTCAGAACTGTCTCAACGCCTTTCACGCCCACCCTCCACTCCCACCCGGCATCTTGCCCACCGACTGCTACACATCTTTCTTCTTTCGTCCCTATCTTTTGTCCCTAAAGTCATCTTCTCCTGCCGGCTCACGTAGGTCTTGATAGTACACTATCCCACTGGCCTTGCACATTTCACACTTGTATGTGGCAACTCCGTTACCTGTTTAAACCCCTGCATAGTGCAGATGGTTAAGTGAGGGACTGAGAGGTTGGCTGTTTAAAGTCGGGTACCTGGGAAGACAGGCCTGGCCACGTGCTTTCTAAAGGTCACACAGCCTTGAAAAACGCACGGGACACAGTCTCTGAATGCATGGGGTCGGCCTGCACACCTGGCGTCCTCTCTGCACACATCCACTATGGCACAACCGACAAACTTGGTACTATCTCTACCCACGGAGCCTTCAGGACACACTGGTTCATTCCTATGCACTAGTGTATCCCCGGGCTCCGCCCTGGCCTGACCCAGAGAGCTGGAATCAAGGTGCAAAGAACCAGAAATTCCAAACATTTCAGCAATGGGATTCCATACCTGGAGGTTATCCAAGGAGAAGGGATGAGTAGAAGGCACTGGGCCTAAGCCGAGCCTCTTTCCTTTGCAAGTCAAAGGACCTACTTAAGATTATCATCAGCCCCCAGGCAGCCCCTCCCCACCCCAAGCCAGAAGGAGGGGGGTGAAGTCAGTTGGTGCCCCTCCCGCTTCCCC